AAAAACAACCTAGGTCCAGAAGCTCCGTTAGGGATTTGAACCAGGGCCATTCGCTCGGGCATGATTTCAACTGAACTAACAGAGCGTTCATTCGCAGATTATTCAGAAACAAAAATTATTAAACTTATACTATAGAGGACTTGTGACTCGTCGATCGGAGCAGAGAAAGACGAGGCTTATACAGGATCTACTATTAAATTGTCTTATTTAAAAGCGTGTCAAAGACATAACAGTATTAACAGTGTGTCCTACTATACGTTTATAATCTTCGCAATACTGTAAGTACAATTAATGTAGGTGGTTGGCGGGTGCTCTGGTGTGGTTTGCTTCTTCTTTCCTATCAAATATCTACATGTATCGTCTTTATCTCTCCTCCTTCTTTTTTTTTTTTTTTTACCCTCTTGTAACACCTCTAATAGTCGGCACTTGTAATATGACCGTATTGTGTTGCAAGTGCCGTAAAACTCTTACTAGATCTAAAACAAAGTACAATTAATGGTCTGCAGTAAGTGCACGCAACCAGTAACTGATCTCAAAAGCACAATTTGTTACGCTAACCTGATGGCGTCCATTTATAGGATGGGCGGTGACAAAAAAAAAGCAACAAAACGACAACGAAAAAAGATGTACCACTTGACAGCAAAGCTATTAAGGCTGTGTGCAACCAGTTAGTTCTACAATACGTTTCCCTCCCACCATGATGCATTTTAGCCCATGTTACAAATTTTATGCGTTGTTTGGTAAGAGTTTTACGGCACTTGCAACACAGGAATGTCATTGTAGGTGCCAAAAGATCATAGGTATTACAAGAGTAACAAACACAAAAAGGAGAAGAGCTCAGAACGATAGATGTTTGAAGGGAAAGAAGATGCAAACCACACTGGACCACCAGCGAACCACCTGCTACTACTTTTACAAAGGGGAAATCCTTTATAAGTTGCAAGAATGGCCTCTGACCCTCATTCTGAAGATCTTAAGATGGTTTTAACTGGACATGATAAAGGTTCGGGAGCCTCAAAAGAGTCAGAAGGTTTAATTACCACCAAGTGCAAATAATATGTCTTGGTGCAAAACTAGCTACAGCTGGTCCGATGTGCTCACTCACAAAGAACCGTTTATATATATA